TATTACTGATAGTTCTATACAACTGTTGCTCTTGTACAGAAATTGCTGATTTTTTTAGGCATTGTGAAACTAGTTGCTGTCTGGATATTGATGAAATCATAATATGGCAGGAAGGAGCTTAGTGTAAAGAGACCCACTAAATGCTCACCTTGCTTTTTGTCCGAGCCCTTGCAAGGCTGTGCTGTTACCAGCACTGACACTGCCCAGGGTAAGCACAGAGAGAATTCGTCTGCATTGATGACACCACCACAAAACCTTTTACATGACCCTGTAATTCTCAAGTAAACAAGTGCAGTTTAAACATGAATATGCAGTTTAAGCTTATTCTGACAAGATACAAAGGAACCTGAGAAGTGTAATATGCTTTTATGATAGATGATATAGCAGCACCGTAATTTAAACTTTACTAATGCTGCTGTAGAAATAAAGCCTACACTTCTTTAAAATTGGGTTTTATTAACATAAGTACTGCATTTAAATGCAGTGTCTGTTGTTTTCAAAAAATGTTTGAAACAAAACTGTACTATAGTCTGTGTATGAGGACAAAACAATTGAAAAACAAATTAAAGCTATTACCATGGTGCTAATGTAGACGGAGGAAAGGAAATGCACAGACACACACAAAAAAAATCCATCAAAAAACCCCAGAAAATCAAGTTTCAGCCATTCTATATGTTCTCCCCATCCTTAGCAGGATTCCTGTTTGATTATTCTTGAAATTAGTTCAGATATGTTTCCTATTTAATGTATCAGATTTATTTATAGTTATATGGTAGCACCAGATGGAAATGCTAGGACCAAATGAAAGAAGTACAGGAGACAGTGTTAATTACATGCTGAAAAAGTTCTAGCTTTCCAAGGAAAAAACAATTTCCAACTTCCAAAACCTTGCTATTATTTCCATTAAAAAAAAAACAACAAAAGTAAATAAAATAAAAATCTTAAAATTTTCAGAGTACTGCTTTTGAATAATGTTATCCACAATTTTAAGACAGTCCATTAAATAGAAAAAAGATTTGTTTTACATAAAGCAAGAGGGTACAAAAGCACAGCTTTTGTAATTTTGGTAATATTGCAGTTCTACAAACATATTGCATAGTATCTGTAAGAAAATAGTTCCCATCTTTTTATATATACTTCTATACACAAGAAAACCATTAACATGAAGGTTACAAACCAAAAATGGTTAGCAGACCTTTACTGAGTAGTGTTTGGAACAATACAGCACTCAGATTTTGATCCAACTTTCATGTGCATTACAGTGAATCAGCTGATAACAATTCCATAGTCCAAAGTTTGTGGGTTTTTAATTTGTTTTTTATTTAGCAATTATTTGGAATCTAAAAACAAAGCAAAACAAACAAATAAAACCAAAACCCCCTAAAAGATACATTATGTTAGCAACCAAATATTTCAAACATCCTTCATTAAATCCTTCTAGACATTTATGGCTCTATCATCCAGACTTAATAACGCTCTGCATCTAAAATGCTTGAAAGTGAATTCTTTTATCCAATCAAGGCAATTTTTCAAGCAAACCAATATAACTTCATTTCAAAGAAGCAATGTCTTGGTATGTTTTCTTAGGAACACCAGAAGACCCCCCCCATATGCATGAACAGTAATGTAATTGCAAGACACTGACAAAAAATTTAAACCCTGGAAAAAAGTAAAAATCTACAGCTCAAAACGCTGCACAAATCTAAACTATGTTACATTTCATGTTGTAATTACAACTTTTCATCTCTTCATTCCAACAGAATTAGTAGAAACAGCAGTGTCATAGTGTTGGATATAATAGAAGTGTCTGTCTTTGGTCTTAACACTTAACCAATGAATGAACTGCAATACAAACCATACAGCTGACAGTGCTCAGAGAGGTTGGCTGATGCTTTTACTTTTCTCTTCTTTTTCCTTCTTTTTTCTTTGTTTTTTAACAAGAAAGAGACAGCATCCTATAATACGACACAAATGTTTTTTTTACAGGAGATAAATCTATTGTATATATTAAACACATGTAGTCAATGAGGTCTTTGCAGATATTTCATTGCTTTCATAAGGATAGCATCTTAATTTTTAGTATGGTTAATGCATTGAAATCACTTTTTGAATACTCCTTGAAATCATGTGGGCTAGAAATACTTTTTAAAATACAAAATTTTTTCTTCCCTTCTTACAGTTTTCAATGGATTTAAAGAAAGACATCAATACTATGAAATTTACCAGAATATTAAGATTGTATGAGAACTTGTTATTCTATCTCATAGGTTGTCGAAGCTCTTAATTACACTCTACTTTATATTGATGGGACTCCAATAAAGAATATCCTGACAGTGCAGAGCTATGTGAACTTACTGGGCTGGTTTTTTGGAGTCCAATGTCGTATCCACATACCTCTTCTGAGTTCTCTTCATACAACTGGCAAATTATTTCAGTCTTGCTGTTAAAATTAATCTAGCAACAAAAGGGTTTTCTTCCTACCTGCCTATTCCCAACCAAGTTGGTCTAAAATTTATTAAGGTTGGGTCCTTCCATCCAGTGAACAGAGACCTTTTTTAAATAACAGGTAAATAATCTCAGAAGATGAATAACAAACAAATAGGAATTTTTCAGTGGAAAATTCATGACAAAGTATCTGCAAGTCATCCTGAAGGTTTATTTGAGGAGAAAAAAACCTCCTTAGCTTACCTGTATACAATCTGTAGGAAGCCCCATTTTAATTCACCAAATAGATTAGTCACTATATTTGTTCATCTTTTAAGCAACAGGTGTATGCAGGTGTGCACAGATAATGAATACACATAGATGTGTCCTCATACACATACTTTTCCTCATACTTTTATACTTTTCCTCCTGAAATTCATGACTGTCTCTCCAGCATTCTATTACTTGTGTGCATAAGAAAAAGACATCTATATCCCTAGAGTTATAAGAGTGTATTGTATGGCTACACTTTTTCATGTTTTATTGTCACCTTCTTTCTCATCTGCAACTCTTTTTGCCCCTCTTTCTATCTGAAAAATCCTCATGTTCTAATATATTTTCTTACAATATTTTCTAGTATAATTTCCTTCAAAGAAGAAAATCTCGAATAGACAACAAATCAGCTGTTAACACCCTTCTTTTGAAGACATAAAATAATCAATTCAAAATCTTCCTTTAACTGTTAAAACCAGCAAATACAGAATTCTTGCTATGGGGTAAAATTCACACCTCTGAAGAGGGTCAATGGTAAGGGAAGCACCAGTCAAGCCGTTGACACGTCTTGTGCTGGTCTTCTGCATAGGAGTGAATTTCACCTGAAGTGAAAACAAAGTCAATCTTATCAGGTGGTAATAAGATGCCAAGGCAATCACCATACTAGTTTGCTCATTTTAATTTCTTTTGGTCTAAAAATATGTTTTGTTTCTTTTTTAAAGTGTGTAGAAGTACCCACCTTGCACCATCTCCCCCGGCTTTAGAATTACTTTGCAAAAACTCTCGTTTCATTGGTGACCTTAGATTCAGAAGCCACTAAAAATACAAACTAGGTGATCTAATTTAAAGAACAGAATTTAAAAACACACTTACCTCACACAATCAAGCCATCTTCCACAATAGGAAGCATTTTTATATTGTTTTACTTTCCTGGGTTCTGAAAGTTTCAAGATACTCTTGTTAATCAATGTTGTGACAAATTTATCAGCAGCATACCAAAGCATTTTTTTATAAGATTTCAATTAACAATGAAGCCAAATAGGTATGAACATTGATACATGAAGAAAGAAATCCCACATGAAATTTGTCAAAAAAGAATCAGTAATGAGATCTGAGTGCAAATGTGGCTACATAATTTAAACAGAGACCTGGTAAAGGTAATGTAATATTGACCTCCTTTTTAATACCGAATGTCATTTAATATGTGGTTTTATATATACTACTATTACTTTGAAACCTCAGCAACAGATGGTAAACAAAAGAGAATAATAAATGTGAATGTCATACAAGTTGTTAGTGCACTGCTTCTCAGCACCACACGTTATACTATTACCAATGTTTGTACTGCGTTCAAGTGGCAGCAGATAGATGTAGTCAGAAAACTGGCAAGATGTACCTTTGAAGATTTCTCTCTTGGCTTTGTATTTGCCAATTATAAGACCCTTGTGAAGAGCAATACACTGATCAACAAACATATCATCAGAATTTCCTTCTTTACCCTGTTCTTCTTTTCCAGAAACTGTATGTTCTACTCAAAGCAATCGCTTCACATGCAATGGCCACGAAAATATAAGGTCATTCAGATCTGACAAAGAGCATTTCTTTTTAACTTTTAAAGGAATATTGCTGAGCATTTCCAAAATTTACCTAGTGTACAAAACCCTAGACTTAGTAGACAAATAGCGACAACACATATTTAAAGAAACCAAACTCAGGGAGGAATTCTGTCTCTTTTTGTATTAAAAACCATTTACTGAACTTGTTTAGTAAAGCAAGCATCACACAATGCTTTAAAATTTTAAAATTCAGGGATAAAAGTTTACTTCCAAAAAGATGAATGGAAAATTGTGCTTTCAGACAGTAAAGTTACTTATCATACAGGGGGAATCAATTCATCTCACCATCAGATTCTGGATAAATTAATGTACTCTCTCTCTGTCTCTCTAGATATATATTTATGTGCAGTTCATATCCAGGTCCTGCAAAAATCTAAAACTATGTGCTTCACTTCAAGTAGCAAAGGCACCTGTGTTATTGTCCCTTTTGGAAAATAAGGTGATCTTATGTTCTAGGTTTCCTGATGAAGAATACACTGTTTTCTGGATATCTCTCTCCCATCTCTGTGTTGAGTGGCAGCACAAGCCACAAGAGAAGGCAGCGCTGTACTCCTGCTTACAGTGGAAGAAGTTGCTCTGCAGGCCGCTTGGAGCGTCGGACTTGTCACAAGGGAAACCCAACTGAACTGTGAAGCAGAGGGATAGTAACAAAAGGCTATTCTGGTGTGAGGATAAAACGGAGTCATTCTAGCTCCACAAGCAGATGTTGCTACTGGATTGACATGTGGAGCCTGCTCCTGCTGGGGACAGGTAAAGTTTACCACTGGGACAGGCGCAGAGCTCATAGATAGTCTGGCGAGGAGCTGAAGAGCTGGGTGAGGAGGAGGAGGAGGAGAAGGAGGAGGAGGAGGAGGATGAAAAGGACCCCACTGGTAGATTTCCCAGGCGGATTGTATCTGCATTTAAAAATATCTAAAAAGAGACAGGAAAAAAAGAAATACATAAATTTCTATCAACAGTGAGACATATTTTAAAGAAGTGCTTTGAAGCAGCTGTGATTTTTTGAAAAATATTTAAAATTTTAGAAATATTTTATTAGAAGTATTACAAATATATATTAGTAATTACTCTTTTTAGAAGTAAAAAAGCTGTCAGCATTTATTGTTTTTCATCTCTGTATAGTCATTTCTGCATTAATAGTCATTATGACAATATATGCAATTACTTCATATGCATACATATATATACTTAATATGTTAATTCAGGTACAAATATTATTATACAAAACCAGACAATATTCTTGAGCAGGTGGAATTTTCACTTGTACAATTTATGATTAACACTTATTCATTCATAGCAGCAGCATATACTTGCTCTGGCAGAATTTGTATATTAATAAGTGTGAAGTGATATTAAAGCACATTCCCCAGTGTGTTCCTGTAAGCAGTTGAAAATATGTGCTGAACTGTGCTAAATTGTAGGGGCTTAAGAATAGCTACTTCCAGAGAATAACTAAATGAGGTTACAAAGACATATGCACAAAATAAAGAGCTCTTTTGACCTAAATTAAGAGGAGGAAAGATTTCAGGTTAAAGTCTTATTAAAAAGGCCATCAAGATATTCCCATTTGTTTTTGAACATCGAGTATTATTAAAAAACATTGTGTTTTCTTTCAATCTACCATTGGAAATAACAGGAGTCAGTATGAAACTATAGGTACCAGTAACATTAATTAATTTCTGTTGAGTTCTCCAGTACTTATACTTACATCTGCAGAAAACTGCATGTCTTCTACTGATTCAAACAGATGAGTGTCCAGCTGGTCAGAATTTATTTTTTATTTATGGAAAGAATAAATACGAGCTAAAGTAAAATCAGTCATTGTCTCAGGAGTAGACTAAGAACTTCTAGAAGACAGGTAACAAATCAAAATTACATTAAGCTCTGGAGGTGACACTTGAAGATTAGGAAAAGGTGAATTCCTTAAATACATGCTAGGGTTTTTATAGGTATCTAAAATCAATGAAGTCAACTTGACGTCATTGTACCACAATGTTCATAGTACATGTAAAGAACCTAAAGTAATATGGAAAGTATTGCTTTTTTTAATTCTGTAGGAGATAAGTATTATTTTATGATAAAATAAGTTGTATATGGCAGCAAAGCAGTGCAGAAGCACTACTGAGCTCCTGCTATAGAGAAGTCAGGAATAGCAGGCTGGGAAAAAAATAGTGTCTGGATAAAATTCCATACAGGAATTGATGCATATTCATGTTTCCATCCTTAACAGAAGCATTATAAATGACTGGAATTATTGAAAGTAATGTAGTCTGAAAGTAGCCCCAAACACTACAACGCCCCATCACTGTAAGCTCTCCAGCTCCCACAGTAATCATACTGTCGTGGGAGGAAATACTCACCAAAAGGGACAGAAAGGGAGAATCTCAGAGGCAAAGGTGACATCTGCATGTCACAATGCCTGCCTTAATTCACATCATGACTGATAGAGGAAGAGATCACAAAACTAAAATGTAGCAAATTATTTTGTTCTGTAACTTATACAACAAAGGAATGATTTATTTAGACACACACATATACACAATGTTGCTTGGAAAATCCAGTATTACAGACCTGAGACAATTAGTAGTCACCACCCCTGGAGAAATAGTTTTTATGTAAGAAATGTGGATGGTGTTGGGAACACTTTAATAATGTTCTGCTAGAATTACAACTGAAAAAAAAAAAAAGATTACACATGTTAAAACATTCTGCTCAGCTAAGAGTAAATGTGAAAGTAACTATAGCAAATATAATGCAAAACCAAAATAACAGATGGGGAAAAAGAGTTTAATAACAAACTAGAAACTAGGAACTGGTAAAATGTGGGAAGGAAACAAAGGACACTATAATGAATGGAGTGACAAGTAATTAAAAGTATTCTTTCACTTCTCATAACAAGAAAAAACAAATGGTAATAGATCCATTATTAAAGTAGTAACAGTAGAGTTATCAATAGCACTGCATAAAAATCCAGTAGCATTTAACAATGCAAGGTCTATGTAAGTATATCTTTTGTACTAAATAATGCTCGGCATAGTTCTGTACTTGGAGAAAGATCAAAAATTGATGTCAGAACATGACTGTGATAAAATACTTTCAATTTCAACAGTAATTCAGCAGGATATTAAACTGGAGCCAGTAATGTCACATACTTTTAATCAGCAGTTTTTGATAACTTTTAACAAATAGAGCTTAAAAAAAAAAAAGTGACCTTTTGGACTTTTAGTACTGACTTTCAGTAAGCCTTGTGGACTTTTAATATGGAGTTTCAGTAAGCCTTGTGCCATGGTTTAACCTCAGCCAGCAGCCATGTGCCACACAGCCACTCCCTCATTCACTCCCCCACCAGAAAGATCAGGAAGAGGCTGGAAGGATAGAAGCTGGAAAACTCATGTATTGAGATAAAGACAGTTTAACAGGGAAAGCTATGCACACAACCAAAGCAAAATAAGGAATGAATTCACTGTTTCCCATGGGCAGGCAGATGTTCAGCTATCTCCAGGAGAGAAGGGCCCCATCATGTATAATGATGACTTGGGAAACACAAACATCAGCACTCCAAAGGCCCTTCCCCTTATTTCCTCATCCCCCAGGAGCTTTATATAGAAAGCCTGATGTCAGAGAGCATGGAATGTCCCTTTGGTCAGTTGAGGTCACCTGCCCTGACTGTGTCCCCTCCCAGCTTCCCATGCACCCCCAGTCTCCTCCCCAGAATGGCAGTATGAAAAGCAGAAAAATCCTTGGGTCTGTTTAAGCCCTGCTCAGCAATAACAAAAACATCTCTACATTATCAACCTTGTGTTCAGCACAAATCCAAAACACATCCCATACCAGCCACTGAAGAAAATAAGCACTGTCCCAGCCAAAACCAGCACACCTTGATATACTTGGAATACCAAAGAAGAAAAGAAGAAGACTATTTCTATGGACGCTGGAGACATTAGACTATCATATATGCAATAATAAAAAGCATTTCAAAATTAAATATATGCATGTAAGGCAGTCCACCAAAATATGGGATGAGCTCTTTATACTTTTGGCAGATTATGTGACTGGCCATTTTAACAGCTTAGCTGCAGTCATGATGAGGAAGGTTCATGAGAAATCTGTAGTACAAAATTAAATGGGTTCTAAAAGGCATGTTTTGATTCAAACAAAAATTAACTCAAAAGATCAGAAAGCCTATGTGTCAGAGATCTGGAGTTAAATCTTTTGAACTTTATTCTATTATTTGCTGTGAGCTCAATAATTTTTCTGTTTGTGTACATCAGGACAGCTGCACTTTTACAATCTCTCATTGCAGGTGTTCTGTAGTGTACTGCTCCAAGACTTTAATCCAGAGCACGTTACTCTGGTGTGCATTACAAAACAATGTAGCTCAGTTATTTTTCTCATTAAATGAAATTATCTTTAATAAGCATAGCTGTGCAGGCTTTTCCACTGGTACTTATAAACTTCACACTGTAATGTACAACAATCCAGGTTTATCTGGTATCCTAATCCTGCATGGTAGCTACCCAGTCCTGTCCCAGCATACATCCCAGAGCATCTGGTCAGCAATGTGGGTACTAGGATATGGTGTCTGAGAAAAATTGGACTGCCTTCTTGAGAGGGTGATATCTGCTGCAGTGAGTCCAATTTAAACCCATCCCTATAACTACACCCTGGTGAGGCCTGTGTTGAAGAGGATTAATAAAGATGGTTTAAAGCCAGTATTAAAATCTACCTTGTACATATGCTGTCAGGGTTATAATGAAGGATGAAATTTAGAGATGCAACATTGCTATCTATTAGTTAAGCAGGAATCCAAATATACTATCAAAGTATCCCAACATATTAGGAATTTCAGTGTACATATTTGAGGATTTATGTTTTCTGTCCTCTGATCTGCTAAAAACTGAAATTCATGTCTGAAAAGTCCTCCAACACCAGCAAAACTTAAACTACTTACTGCTTTATGCTTGATGTTATCAGGTGTTTTAAGAGAAGGGAAGAAGTGTCAAGACAAAAAATTAAACAGTATGATGTTTCTAGGGAACACTGCTGCTAGATGAGAGTAGTTAATGTGTACATGGTCTTTCTCTAATCTGTTTTGCTGTGAGAGGTATGAGATAAGCCATTTAATACCTCACATGCATCAAGGCAATGCAGGGCAGTCATACTCTTTCTGAGTCTCACTCCTCAGAAGACAAATAGGCACAAAAAAACCCAAAGCCTTCACTAATTCCTCAAACACTGTGGGAGACTGCCTGGCAGATTGCAAGATGGAAAAGGCAGCTGCTACTCAGAGAAATGTTATTTCATGGAGAGCAGAATGCTGAGTAGCATCATGCTCTCTAAATACTTAAGGTTTAGAAATCCCAGAGCATTGCTTTGTCATGTGCATCTTAGTACAGGGAAAAATACACTAGTTCTATATGGTTTAAAAGTAGATCCAATTTCTGACTAATTAAGGAATCAAACTGAATCAGCCTAGTGATAAGAATGAAAAAATGGTACTCTTTTTATATACACTTTTTGTTAATGAAGATCTGCCATTCACGTGCTCATCAGACCATATTGTTAATCTGAATATTGAGAGGGAAAGGGAGAGGAGGGCAAACCAGAAAACATAGATTATCTACAAAACAAAGAACTAACTTGAAGGAGCAAACTTTCAGTGGGAAATATGTAGGCATGAGGTAAAAAAAACCAAATACTTGTAAAAGCCTTAAATACAGAGATATGAACCTGTCATGTATAAAATTCTCCAGTGGGTCTTAGTCAAGACAGCAAATGACAGTTTAAGTTGATACAGCCAGATTAAAAATTTAGGATTTATAGACAATGAAGAATTTTCTGTATCCATGTACTCTTCAATTAAACAGGCAATTCTATAGGGCTGCAAAGGCATATTTCAGGTCTAAAGTAGA